TCTTCGGGGGTTGTGACTGGAGGAGCAGGGTTTGGGTAGATTCGATGAGAAGTATAATCAGAAGAACAGTAAAGCAATCATATTGATAATTATTTATTCTTTCTAGCTTTTACATTATTGGAAGCGCATTAACCGCGCAAGAACGTGTGAGTGGGGCAAGGGTGCTGGGCGTCAGATCGTGACATGAAAGAAACGCCAACCCCAAATCAAGAGGTCTGAAGACTTGGCGACTCTGCAGCGGCTCCCGCTGCTTCAAGCAAGACTGGTATCGTTTCGGGCATCTTTTGCTTGATGCTCAAGGGCTTGATTGCTTCATTGTCATCCCTTTTCAAGTTGCGGACGGCAAAGATCAACAACAAGTGTATCGGTTGCATGGCCCTGGAGCAGTCATGGCTTTGCGTAGAGTTTGCTGACTCGACATTGAATCCAGGGTGTTGAATTTTCAGGGTATTTTGCGAGGAAAGCTCATCTGAGGCGAACATGTCCTCAAGAAGCCGTAGGAACGTCCTCTAGGGGAATGTTGGTTTTTGAACTGGGTAAGCACGGCGCAAGGAACACAATTGTGGGCTCAATGGTGTGGTAGTTGGGTTGGGGCTTCGGGTTTGCGGCAGCTGCGGCCTAAGACAGCGGCACCCCTGTCAAAGACTCAAGACCCTAGGCATTTGCAGAACAGCAAGGAAGGCTTGAAGCTACATTGACATTTTCTGTCACAGGCAAGAGACCCAAACTTCGAAAACATCAGCACAACTCAAGAAAACAAGAACCCTCCTGAATTTGAGTTTGCTGCGTGCTGCGCCCTGTAGATGGACTTCACCGTCTCTGCCAGGCTGAGGATGCGGGGTGCCTGGTCCTCCCCATACTCTGCGTCTGTGCATGCGAAGGCGGGTCATTTTCTCTAGTTATAGCAATTTGTGGATGTACGCAAGCGGTAACCAGGCAAAACCTGAGTTTGACATTAACGCCTGGGATTCGAGAGAAGATCTTGCAAGACTTTGCATAACTTTTCACGGACTTCTTTGACTTCGAAGTGCCCTGTAGCGGTTTGGGATGGTCTATACTATCTTATGTGCTGAACTTCTCGCTTTGACTCTAGGGGCCTGGCACGGGCTTCTGCTTTGGGCTTGCAGGCTCTCTTCGCTGTTGCGTTTCGGGTTCATGCTTTCTGTGTTGCAACCCAAATACGCAAAACCGAGTCAGGGCTCTGTGGGAAGGTCCGCTAGTGCTTCTGGAAATGTCTCTTCTTGTCGGCTGCTCCTAGATTCATGTAAAGAAGGACACGCAGGTCTTGTAGCTGTGAACTGTGCTTGCGAATCCGATGAGAAGATGATCGGAAACGTTTCGCTGCAAAAGTTTCCAAGGTGCAGTGTACTTCTCAGCAGTCAAGACCAGGCAGGGTCTTTCTTACAGCCAGCGATCCAATGATGCTAACCTGGACGAAGATCGTTGAAAACTGAAAACTGAAGGGGGAGAAGCTCAACAAGAGATGGCAGCAACCTACGGCAGCTTGTCAGCCGTAGGCACAATGACAGCGAAAACGTCGGAGATGGCCGTCAGCGCACTCTTCTTCAGCAAAGCTGCCTCTACAGGCTCACCGCTGATAGGATCTGCCAGGGAACGTGTTGCCGTTGCGCTGGCCACCACGGTGGAAGCGTAGCCAAGGTTGAAAGCACCACGTGCTGTAGAGTTCACGCACATGTGAGCCATGAAGCCGCACAGCACCAAGGACTTAACGCCCTTGTCCTGGAGGTACTGATGGAGAGTCGTGTCATGGAAGGAGTTGGGCACCTCAAGGGAATCGAAACACTACGAGCGCCGCCAGAATCAGAAATGGCAGCAGCACTACCACCATCATGCTACTTCAGCAAAAAGAGGAGGATGTCCACACGTTCATTTGCAGAGTCAGAGACAGTAAGGGCATGAACGTATGCCTAAAGCCTCAGGTCGTAGAGTCTGTCAAGCCTTAAAGCCTCAGCAATTATGCAGCTGGGGACCTTCTTGACAATGACCTCCTCTCCAGCTACGGGTGCAACAGGCTCTGCGATCTGACCCACGGGTTGAGTGAGGTCGTACGGCGAACCCTCCCCAGCATCGTGCTGGATGTGCACCACTGTAGCACCTCTTGGGCACTCTCAATTCGGGTCGCTTTTGCGGGTGGCGTGAACTCTTGGTGGGGTTCTGTGGCAAGCACTACTGAACTGCGATTTCTGACAGTTCAAAGGCTCACCTTCTGCGCGGGCGCGTTTCAACAGAGCCGCGCACTCCTCCAAAGCGGGCTCCACACCTTCCAGCTTCATCACACCCTCGCGGTACGTCTGCTGCGCGTCGATGATCACCTGCAGACAACTCTGGAAGGTTTGGGGTCGTCATGCCACAGAGTTGGCGCAGCGTTCAGGATTGCGTGCATGTGGCGACCCTTTGAGACGCGCGCAAGCCTTTCGTCCCTAGACCTTGAATATCACTACGAGAGTAAATGGAGTTTTCCGGATCGCACAAGATTGCCAAACCGCACAACAACAACACTGCAATATTATTAACCCCAACGTCAACAGCAAACACACAAACACACATCAACAAGAGACAGTTACCAGAAAAAGGGCTCGAGTTGCCAGGGCCGAATCCTTCAGCGGCGTGGGCTCTCCCGGCAGCCCGGAAAGCGTGCGGAGCGTCGGGGAGGCCATGGCTGCAGCTGGGAACTTTTCGGAAGGATCGGGGGCTTCTCGAGAATTTCAAAAGACGGCTGGAATGAACAGATATACACACACACTCACATGTGTATGAAAAAAGGTCTATAGACATACCTGTATGTATGTATTAATGTATGTATGTATGTATATAGCAACTCCCAATGCAAACGGAGGTGTATCTACGTATACAGACACTGTAAATGTTTGGTTTGTACAGAAATAATACATGAACAAATAAATCAATATGTACATATATATGTATATGTATATATAGAGATAGATATAGATATAGGGTGTGTAACGGAACGCAGGCCCGTGTTATTTTCTATATATATATATATATGTAAGCGAAACAATGTATTTTTCCAATTTGCACGACGGTTTATTGTGACTATCACAGCTGTCGTGCTTCTAGCGCTTGTTGTGTGTAGGTCTATGGCCACTTCCCACGAGAAGCAGCAAGAAATCCACAAGCCTGACCTCCACCACCACAGCCTGAAGCCTGAATCCTGACCTCGAAAGCTCACCCCGAAACATCTGCTCCAAGCACAAAAACTTGAATTACCTGTATATAAGTATCGAAACAAGAAATACAGACACATGCCTTTTTATGTGCATGAAGGGAAATTGCAAGCACGTGGCAATATCTACAAACAAATCTCTACAAGAACAAAGGTGCTTGGATGCTGCTTCCAACGTGGCCCGACGTTCTGTATGAGAAAATCGAATGATCCCATCATGGGGCTCGAAAGGAAAGCCGGAGCTAAAGGGAGTCGCTGTCCTTGCCGATGGAAAACTTGCGGCCGTAGTAAGCTTTCCCTTCGCACTCGCACCTGAAAAGGTAATAGTTGCTCTGAGGCAGGGCTTCGATCGGTCTAAATCCCTGAGCGACGGGAACCAGCCGTTCATCCCTGAGTCCAAAACTTACATGAACATCTTGAAACGCCAAACCGAAACGATGACTCTTTGCCGCTTCGGCTTAGGATTTATGGTAAATCTCCAAGCGGAGCTTTGGACGAAATGTGGCGACGTGCCCTGAACCTGTCTGGGTTCGCCGCATCTCGCCCTCGTTTGCGCAAATGGTGGCTGGGCCGTCCTTGCTGGGGAGGAGAATGTCGGTGTGGGAATCGGTGTTTCATGGCAGGAAGCTTAGCAAGCCTTGCGTTTCAGGGTGTGCAATTGTCCGGACTCTGTGCTGAGGTTGACATCCTAGCTTGAACGATCTCTGATCTCGGTGGAGGCTGGGTGCGTCAGCTTGAACGTTGAGGTCGGAGCTGTGTTCCCAACCCTCTTACATGAACGGTTCATAAGGATAGCGAAATTAGCGAATGTGTCTCTGGAACGAATGTAATCGTTGTAGCAGCAAGTGCATCTTATATACAAATCATGGAAACAACCCGTCCTCGTGACCAGTTGGCAAGGAAATATGCTTACTTTGACATGCAACCACCACCGCTTCAACTATGACGACGACGACTCCAAACATCGTACAACCGACTATCAAATATGTTTAGTCGAAACTGATTGCTCACATTCGGCAGGGGCTTCAACCTAATTAGGTTTCGATGCTGCTGTCATGTTCCTCATAGCCATGCTGCGGGTTCGTTGTTTCGCCTTAAATGATGAAGCTTCGCAGAAGTGGTAGTTCTCTCAGAGGCCAGCAATACTTGAGCTGCTTACTCCCTCTTACTAGTACGTTGCTAACCCTAAGGAGGTTTTTTTATTGGAGGGATTGAAACTCCAGAACCGCCAGGCGACCTGCCGGGCGACATGAAATAATAGGGGCGGGGGTCAAATAGGAGCTTCAGAAAACAAGCATTGCAAGGAATCCGTTTATACGCGCTGCTAAGTACTGGACCCCTCGCGCTCAGAACCCGGAATGTGAAGAGGCCATAATATTCGGGAAAAGACATTGAACCCGACAAGGCTACATGTAAAAAAATTGGGCAAAGGAACCTCGGCTGGGCTGCGCGGCGCGGGGCCTCCCTTCATGGCCTGTCTTTCAGGGGTTTGGCGCGAAGCGGGGTTTTGGGGCGTTGGTTTTGGAGGTTTGGGGCCTTGAAGTGATCTTTTCCGGGATCCGAGGCTTGCTTCGGGCTGTCAGCCAAAGGGCTGAGGGATTTGAAGGAACTCTAGCCTGTCCACAAACGCACACCCTCGAAATTCAGCTGCAAGCCCAAGAACAGCACCAAAAAGCGCATGGTTCCAGGGATGGTGCAGTAACATGCGTTGGTCCTTGACATGTTTTCCTGATATGCACGTGCAAACCCCCACCGTACTTACCACTACAATAATGTACTAAAGAAATCCGCCTAGCATCTCACATTGCAGGAGCACTGAAAAAGATAAGAAGCTTGAGCCCTACGACCAACGGAGTTCCCTGAGATCCAGGGATCGATCCAAACCTGTGTCAGCTTCGCATGACGCACCGGGCCGACACTCTACAATAATGTGGGGGAATTTGTGCTGCGATGTCTAGAACACGGCACAATACATCATCGCACGACGTAGTGACGTCCACGGCACGAGGGAAGGTTCCAACACTCCTCAGAGCAGTATCTGCACAAAGCTTCGCCATCGCCTGTAGCTGCGCTGCAATAATCCCGAAATGCTGAAGCCCTCCGGCCCCTTACACCCTACACCCTCAACCCAGAAGCAGGAAGGCTTCAGTGCAACGGAAATTTCAAGCTCCACCCGGCTATTCACTGCACCGAGAGCACCACTGTTAGCGGATCTGGACTGTCACTGTGTAGTGATCCCGAAATGGTGCCTTTCGACCCTGACATACCACACGAGACCCTTTACACCCCTCGACTCTTGAAGTCTGATGCGTTCGTGCCTGGCAGAGGCACTGCTTGGGACGATTGATCTGGGGATCACCCATGAATCCGGAGGTCGTGCAGGCCTGATTCAAGAGTAGAAAGGGTTGGTATTTTGGGGTCGCTTTGCGCTTCAAGGCCTTCAATACTTTATTCGTTCAATGCCGCGAAGGTTGGGGAGGGGGTGTTGGTGGAGCAGTCCTACCTTTGAAGGATAGAGGTGAGCGAATCGGGTGGCAACAAGCGGTGGATCACGAGGGCCTGGTGCGTTGAGCTCGCGGCTTGACGGTTTGGGTTCGAAGCAAAGAAGATGAGTAAGAGATCTATGCTGGCCCTCTAGGCGTCTGGCCTTGGGACGGTTCCTGGTGCCAAGATCAAACGTTCCATGCCGAACTCTAGAGGCGGACGGCGGGTGGCGGGCGGTTCTGGAGGTATAGTTGGAAATTGAAGCCCGAAGGCAAGAAGTCCGTGCCATCCAAGGACTGACCGAGAACGACTCGGAACACGCAAACACACATGTAAATACATATCGCATGCATGGAGTGTTTGCAGTCGGAGAAGCAGGGAGACAGAAAGAGAAGAAAGAGATGCGAAGGCTAAGTGCGCCTTGTTTTGTGGATACGTATGCTTACAATACCTCCTTTTGAAGAGATCGCAAATCTCCTCCAAACCCGAAACACGGAGACTCAGCTACGGTTTAGCAGTTTCGGGTTGAGAGTTCAGACCGGGGGCTTCGAGTCCGGGTGCAGGACTGCTTGGAGCTCGGCTGGGGCTCCGGCTATATCTCCGTTGACCTCCATCATGCGATACCTCGCTCAGACAAGGAAAAGCATCTACTTCGAACGTTCCCCATGAAAGGCTGGTGACTAAAGGCCCGAAGGTGAAAACAAAGAAGGGAAGCAAGGCTTGGGAGCGGAAGGACTTCGGGACCTAACCCTTGGGGCGAGGAGCTCAGCCAAAGTGCGCTGAATTGAGGCTCGTTTCGAAGTGTTGCAACAAGTGACGCATCGTTTCCACAAACGTGCGAGCACATGATCATTGAATCATGTTGCCAAAGGCCTCGGAGAAACATAACATCACAAAACTGATTTCAACACCTCGGACTAACCCAGAGCTTCCATTTTCCTTTAAGCCTCAACCGTGAATGATGCTTTAGGACGTCAGTGAGAAGAGCACCTGACCCTCTCAAACGCCCGAGATCCTTAGCCAGGCCGCTGTTGCAAGACCATTTCAGACAAGTCCAGCTTGTCCCCATCCTCGCAGGACAAAGAGACTTTAGGGCCTTGCTTTCTATCGGCATCTGTGCGCGTACTCATGTACACACTTATCTCTAACCCCGAGTCGTCTCTTGATGGAATACCTCCATCTTGCATGGCGTAACTTCAGCCATTTTGGAGGTTTGGCCCCTCACATTGCGAATCCTTGTGCCCATGGCCCACAGGGTTTAGGGTTCAGGGCTCGGCATTTTGGGATCACGTCCTCCAGAAACCCAAACTTCAAGTTTTAGGCTTGAAGTTCGGGAACCAGTCGTGGTTGGTGTTGGTCCTTGTTCAAGCCCTTACAATGCTGGCGGCCTTGTCGTTGTCGAACTTCCGCCCAAAAAAGACTCGCCCCGAGCATGGGCAGTTCTCACCTTCCGACGCGCAGTACCTGCACACAGGTTGTAAGGAAGGTACATGAGGTTTTATGCGGTTCTCTAGACCTCAGTCAAGTTACCAAGATCAGCACGCATCCCTTCAGTATCTTATAGTAACCTCAACTTAGTTCCTTACAAAAGCCCAGAGCGCGGAACGCTCCGAGACAAAAGAGGACAAAGGGAAGACCCACTCGGAGACCACCAAGTGCTGGGACTCTTCCCGTAAAGTCAAAAAAGCCAGGAAGTTGAAAGCAACGTCTTCTAGCCATGTAGCAGTGTGTGAAGGGCGTCATTTTGGTCATTCCCAGCCTTTTCCTAGTCCAATCTCTGATTCCCTTCAATTGAAATCCATAGCTTGTAGCACGAGTCTGCGCAGATCCAGTTGGATTCCCGATCGTTCGTTGTCCGGCAAAGTGCCATGCACCCCCAAGCCCCAACATCTGCTGGAAATCATTGTAAAGCTGCTCAAACCCAAATATCACCAGCCTTGTGCAACTTTTCTCCATAAGGGATCCCCAGAACAAGAACCCTACTCCTTGTGGGCCACAAACCTCTGAACCACCTGTGAAGCCTCTTGAGCGCTGAATGCTTGCCAATTCACTCGGCTGGGCCGTCGTCTGCAGGCCCCTTCGGCGGTGCCGAGGAATTTCCCAAGCTCTTCCTTGGATCGGATCCCTTACACTCAAGCAAGGCGCGATGAATTTCATCATCATTCGGGCATAAACTGTGATGAGTCAGAGCAATTTTGCGGAGCTCCCGACCTCAATTTGTCTGCTTCAACTTTCAGTCTGGCTGACTCCTGGGTTCATCCAAACACCCCGCGAAAGCCCCAGAAGATCCGTTCCAAAGCACACAAGAACACAGCTCAATTTGAGTTTAGGATTTCGGGCTTAAGCTTTTTGTTTAGGGTTCTGGGCTGGGAACTGCCGGCTCCAGAGCCAAAGCGACCAAATCCCCACTACGTGCCAACAGGATGATCTCCCCAGAGCTCGGTCTGAAACAAGGAGACCCTACGGCCGACATCCTGAAGGCCCAAAACCCGAGACCGTGAAAATAAATGCCGACGGCCTCAATCCGCGTCCAAGCTTCCGATACAGCGCACCGACGAAAAGAGCCGAGTCGAAGATGGCACCGCCGGCATACTCCCTGTAGGAAGATGATTTTGCAAGGCTTTATGATATAGCTAGCGGCTTAGAGGAAGGGATAGGAGGGTACCATCGGGTTACGGAAGGGTTCCTGGAGGAGAACAAAGGACAAGCTGGCCCTATGGGCTCCAGCCCCTAAAGTGGCAACTTCCATCTCGAAAAGCCAGTGCCAATTTCATCCTTTAGGTGCAAAAACTCGAGCTTAGCCCCCAAGACGGTCACCTGCCTTTGAAAGCCCTGGGCATTGAAGAGGTGGTAGGCCAGTCGATCCATGGGCTTCCTGCAGTTTCCCGCTGAAGTTTGCGCGTTTGTGGTTCAGGGTCAGGCTTGCATGGCTGAGATGGAATTTGCCGCAGCGCTTGTCTTCGAGCTTTGCTTATAGCAGCAACAGCAGCAATAGTAGTGGATTGGTACCGGTGCTAGTTGGCGGCAGTGGCAGGCAGTCTTTGTCATCATCATCTCTCGTCGAAGCATCTGCTTCCTGCACGATGACCCTTTTGGATTTCTTGGCCGATGTGTCTGTTGGGATCAGTTTTGCTCCAACAGTAGCGGCAGTAATCAATGTAATACATCCTCAGCTCTGAAGGTAACGACGACGAATATGGATGAAGAACGACGATGACGATGATGATCAGCTTATTCGCCTGATGTGTCGTGATGCAATGGTAATGGTGGAAAGCCTAAATCCAACGTCTAAAACCGCCTGCCTTGCGTGATAATACTAGCAGTTTGAAGTAAAATCAAAAGACTGGCCTCGCTTCAGAATTACGTTGCACAGCTTTCACGGGGTGCAGGGCAAGATAGCTATGATCTCTACGATAGCCCCGAACTCTCCAGTCGAAGCCCTCAAGAGGCTCCAAGCCCCAGTCAAGACTTTGCCGAGACATCCCCAAAGCTGCCAACATCGCTGAAGCACCTCTCTGACTTCTATGCGGGTCTTTGGAGTTTGAGGGTGTGGGCAGTGATGTGTGGCAGCTGAACTTAAGGTTTGCTCAGCTGCTGAGAGCCCAAAACTCTCAAAAAGTCCAGGAGTTCCACGAGCTGCAGCTTGGCTGCTTTGTCTTGATGCTCGTGAAGAACGGCAAAGCATCTTGGAGCTTCCGCTTGGTAAAGAGGACTGTGCCCATACCTCGGGAAACCAAGACATATCATATCTGTTGGCGGTCCTTGGGGTCTAGGTACCGGCGCACGCGCACCCGCACACAGCCAACCTTCTCTGGAGGTGATGAACAACCGTCACTGATTTTGGTGGCGACTCCGCAACATCACTCAGCAAGACACTGCCAACCCAAAAAAACGAGCAAACCACCTGCCCCGTCCCGCTCACCGCTCGTAAGCTTCGGACCTTCTGGAGCGAAGGACTCGCCTTCCTTCGGCGTTTGGTGGGTGGGGCCAGGGCACAGGGCAGTCCGGGCATCCGTGGCTCAAGCGTGCGCTTTCTGTGTTGTTTTGGGTGTAAGCATTAAACTCACTCCGTAGTCATGAAGATCTCGCTCATGGCTGTGGCCGCTCTTTGGCAACCGGCGATGGCCCTGGCCTCCTCTGCGAAGCAGTGCTTCTTCATTGAAGGATTCGCGGCAGCAAACTTGTCGAACACTGGATGAGACACCATCTCACCGATAGCCTCAGATCGTGCCCGAGGTCGCTTGGAAGTCTCGAACTCCCTTTGGCCTAACGAATTCAGGGCTTTAAGATGCAATGTCAGTTGCGACAATCAGGAGCTAGCATCTCACGAGCATCATGACCATTCCCCGGACAGAGTTTCACACACGAATGGTTCTTCAAAACCACGAAACCAAGGCCCTTGACCGTTAACCGCGACTCGCCACCTGCAAAACATCTACGGCCGACAAGTCTACCAAACCTAAGACCGGAAACATCCAAACTCCAAGCCCTGAGCTCTAAATCCGAAGCCCTAAGCCCTAAGCCCCAAAGCCGAAGCATGAAATCCCTTTCTACTTCAAGGCCGAGCGACACCCCAGTGCACGTGGCATTTGCGCTTGGGGTCCGCTGGGCAGCAGACCTGAAAACCCGAACTTGTTGGCGTTAATCCCTGAAGCCTAGCCCATAACTTTGTAAGGCTTCGGGCTTTAGGGTTCACCTTCGGCTTTAACCATCGTGGCAGAGGCTTCCGCGTTCTAGCCTGACTGCTTCGGCTCGAACGTTTCCAAGATTTCGGGACTCAGGCATCCCTTCTAATACGGTCGGGTTCCCTTAGTTGCGGGACACTCCTATGTAGGGCAATGTAGCAACAGGCCGAAGGTTATCTCTGAGGATCAAGGTCCATCGCTCTGGTTTCGGGGCAGACTGCCTGAATGAAACCCTCAACCCCGAAGCCTGAATTTCCCGAAACCCTTACATCAGGCTCCTGAATTCTTAGGCTCACATTCCCGAATGCTGCAGAGATGCCCATCTTCTCCAATACGATCTGAGCTGACCTCATCCTCTATGCTCTACTATGTCGCTGCTTTGTTTTCATTAGTTTGCAGGGAAGACCTACGTCTGAACCTAAGTTCAAGACAGAGCATGGGCTTCGCTACTTCATGCGATACTTGTAGAATGGTGGAAGGGAGATCATCGCACACAGCACTCGGACTGTCATAGTTGAGCGACCCTTCCCACCCTCCACCCTGCTCCACTCAACATACCTTCAATCCTAACCACTAAACCCCAATATCAACGGCGTAAACCTGACCTCCCTGAAGATGGGCCTTCGTGTCACGGTCGTCATGGGACTCGCAGTGACTCGTCATTGCCTTCTTCTGCGCCTGGACCGCTCGCACGTCTGAGTTTAGGTACCACCAACTGATTACTGTTACGGTAAACGCCTGAAGTTGGGCATTCTCCCCTGAATTCTGGGCTGTGTTACGGTCCTTACGTATTGCAATTCTTAGAATGCCGTTTTCCTTGGAAATGCCACGGAAGCCAACTTTCAGCTTGATTTAGAGAATCCGCCCCGCCCCTCCTAAGGGTCATGTTGGAGATCTCGAAGCCCTGATACCAGAAACAGGCTGCGATGCGAAGGTTTTACGAACCCTTACCGGGAAACCCTGCAAGAAGCACTAAAGTCACTGACCTCAAATCAAAACCAGCCCACATGCCTCCCAGACTTCCTTCATGTAGCTGCTGCCCTTGCGGGCGGCAAGGAAGTTGGAGCTGAAGGCCTTGCAGCTCTTCCTGGACACAGACATGGCCGGGAGGTGCAAAGAGTCAGAGAGGAGGTCCAGGGCCCAGGGTAGGATCCCATCTTCGATGAATTTCTGAGCTCTTCACTAAATCTGCATCTTCTATGCTTGGCCTGTCTTTCGCCACATTCTCAGTTCCCCAGCCGTTCCTCCCCTAAAGGCGGCTGTGAGTCTTCTGAGCATAGGAGATCAGGTCGTAGTCGTCGGCAACCTTGTCCAGCACCTCTGCGCTGCTCGCATCGTAGCATCTCTTCCGGGGGAGTACCACTCCGTCTCTTAGAGCTCTGGACAGAGCCAGCATGACTTCTTTCATGGCGGTTACGGCCGAGGCTGCGAGTCCAAAAAAGGCCATCCATGAACCACACGATGTTCTGTGTGATCCTACTTGTGCAGGGGGGTCATGGCTGTCGCAGCCCAGTCGTTTAGCAGATGGAGGGAAGCCAAACGTGCTGTTGCAGAAGGAACTTAACCGGCCACATGTTCTGAAAGCTTGGAGATGACAGGGCTTCTCTGGCTTTAGGAGATTCAGGTATTCAGTACTCTGTAGTTCAGAGTTTTGCTGTCTGGTGGAGGGCCAAGGGCTCGAGAACAACTTCGATATGGGGATGCGGCTTGTGTTTCTGCGCCTCGTTCAAGTCTCTGAGGACCAAGATGTCGGTGTCCATGTAGATGCCTGTGAAGATCGCACGCACTCAGCCCGGAGGGCTTCCAGATGACATGGGGGAGGAGCGTGGGGTCCGCATGTGGCTTTGGATTAGGTGTTGGAGGTTTCGGGAACATAAAGTTAAAGAGCTTCTTCAGACCCTCAGCCTAAACACCCAAAGTTCTGCGCGGCCTCCATGATGATAGATCAAAGCATAGCGGATCACATCCGACCGTGATCCGTGGTCCGGCAGCCTGATCAGAGCTGCCGGCTTTGATGTAGGTGCATTCGCATATCCCCTTACTCCAAAACCTTCTGGTTAATCATGCTTCCCGCTTCTTAAGTCTAAAGTGACTCGGGGCTGCGAGTTGGCTTTGGGTGTAAACGGCTGCCAGACCAGCAAGCAGTCAAGCGGTAGACTGTCAACCCTGGGTCCTGAAACCAAAACTTCCATGGTTATGGGGCATGGTGTACGGTTCTACTTTCGACACCGAAAGCTGAAAACTCAAAACACACTCAACCAGTAAACTGCGATAGATTGCACCCCAAACCCTCAACGCACAAGGCTGTAGGTTGTAATCCCTAAACTCCCTGCATGCACTCGGTTGTAGACCTACATCCCGCAAAGACCCTGATGAACAAATCCCCTCAAAGCCTTTGATACAAAACCCACCACAGAAGACTCACAAGACGCCTGAAATACTCTTCTGGAAGATCTGGGATGTACTGAGCGATGTTGGTGTCGTTGATGAGCACCTGGGCAAACGCAGGGCCGCGCTGACAATTTGTCCGGTAGAGGTATTTGCGATGTCTTCTAAAGTGTCTCAAGCTCAGATACCTAGTGACTCCGCAACTCTGGAAGCTGTTGAAAGCCCTTTGCAGTGGAGCAGCAAACCTGGCAAGACTAACACTGCCGAACACGGACCAACCCATTCTAGCACAAAGACGTAGCTTAGCAGCTCACACCTTTTTGGGGCCCCTTCCTTCCTTCGCCCAGGCGCAGGGCTTCCACAGCGGCCGTGGGAATGAAGGGCCCAGGACTCCAGGTCCTTTTGGATGAAGAACGGCACCTCACCACAGCTTCAGGGCCTAGGGCCTTAAAGGGTTCCAGGATGTGCAAAGAGGTGTGAAGGGTCTATTGAGCCGAAGTCCCTTGAGCCCTAAACCTTACAAATGGGAAAGTGTTTGTTGGCAGGTTCCTGCAACCTCCCCTTCTGTCAGGTTTAGGGTTCAAAGGAGTTTGGCTTTTCGTTTAAGGCTTCTGCTTTAGGGCGTAAGGGGTTTAAGGTGAAGGTTAATGGAGACAAGCACTGCTGATACAAAGCGCTTGGAGCTCTGCTGCTGTCGACATGGTGTTGAATGTGCAAGATAACGGGAGCAACAGGCCTGACAGCCCCAACTACCGAAGCCTGGCAACCAAACCAGCACAGATCTAGCCGAAGACCGACCCAGGAGTGTCCCGCAAGAAAGGGCTCTTCAGGTATACTCTATCTGTCAGTTAGGTACTGTCGACCGGAACACGAAGATTGCAATATGCGAGCATCACTTTGAACAAGCTTGGAACGTGCAACACTACTGACTGCTCTAACTGACTATATCCAAATGCCGAAACCTTCAACCGTGCCGACCTTTCCGGCATGGTAGTCCCACATTGCGAAAATCTTGCATTCCGTCCTGCGCGTCGATGGGCGTAGCCCTATCAGCAAGCCCCCAATGCAGACGGGTAAAGCCCTTCAGAACTTTCGAAACACGACAACCGATGCAGTAAGTTCTAATGCGTTGTGTATGAGAGGAAAGCCACAGATTGCGGCCATGCCGCCCCCCCGGCCAGACGGGCATAAAAAGAGAAACCCCGGCAGCACAATGCAGTGAAGGGCTAGTTACTGTACCAGGTTCTCGAGCCATATCTGGCATGACTCACTCATGGCACAAGATTCAACATGTATGCGCTGCGCGCTGCTGTTATTGCAGCTTTCCGGTCAGGGAAGCACAGCTCGTAAGTGTAAACCCAGTCACCTTTCGCGTCTTGCAGTCTGCTGCTTCCTCGCTACTCTTGTGCAGTGCATGCTTTCGTGTGGCCTCTCCTTTGCACGAAGCTGTGCCATTGAATCGCGCACGCAGAATACAAATCAGCGCGCTCCCCCACCCGAGCCACACGGGGATCCCTGAAACCGGCAAAAGGCCGCCTCCACACTTCCAGTGCAAAGAACCTCCCCGAAAGCCTCAAAGCCAGGCCATGAAGGCCCCCTTGGAAGCCCTGAACCTCAAAGATCGCCTCTTCTCGCGCAGGGCGCCCTTTCCAGGACTTTGGATGCTTTCGGTGTGAGGGTTTCTTCGGGGTCGAGGGGCTTAGGGGTTTCTTTTGGAGAGAGTCCCTCAACCCTACATGAGGCTTGATCTGTCGGGTCTTTTCAACAGAAAAACCGTTGGGAATACATGATCAATCCTGTGGCCGTTATTGGGGGACGCAGCGAGGGCCTTTGCAGGTTTTAGTCTTGAGTTTGGGGTTGCTTGGAGGCATCCTACACGTCAAATTGTGCACTTCACGTTTCTGCTGCAGGGTCCTGGTTGAAAAGGGCAGCTGGACCCTGAGAACCTTAAATCCCTCAAGCCGAAGTCCCAAGCCCTAGAACTGTCTAGTATAGGGGCCTTAGTAGTTAGAATAGGGTTTTGGGGACCATTATTATACCATAATTATCACAGAAGGAACACCCAAAATAGTATAGGGAATTCTTGAGGCCCCTTTTTGTTACCTGTCTACATGCGCCTGGAACTTCACTCCCAAGGCCGGCGGCGCCAGCGCCAAGGCGATGAGAAGGGCGAGTTTCATGGCGGCACCTCCCTGCAGACCCGGCAGAGGACCCTTAAAGAAAGCGACGCTGAAGCTCCGGGGGCCGTATGAGAGCCCTCAACTGGTAGATGAAGGGACAGTTACGACAATCCGGAACACCTGATTGGAGCTACTGGGCTGTACGATCCAAATAGGTATTGCTTTCATTCCAGAGCTAAGAGTAAGCCCGAAACCCCCGAAAACCACCTTGAAACCCCAGGTCTCCGGTCCCAGGGCACACTACGTTGCGGCTACGGAAAGCCTCCGAGCGGAGGTCGGAGCTGCGGGTAGCGCGCGACAGATCAACAACGGCTTGGGGCTGAGCATATGAGATTCGAGGTGTAGGCGAAGTGACGGTTTGTCTAGGGACAGTGACACAATAGATTTGTTGCTGAGACGCGGAATTTCATTCGCGGAGGAATGGACCCTTACACTTACATTCCTGGGCCGCTAAAGCGTGTGCATAAGACAAGCTGAAGGACCCGGGAACGTGATAGGCAGACGAGAGTCACCGTCATCATTGTGGTGCAAGAACCTTGCTCTCAAAAGATGTATCACCGTACCGTACCGGAAACCCCAAATCCTGCGCAAGTAGGCAAACCTGTCACCTGCTGCATCTATTGTCCCTTCAACACCGCTTACGATGCAAGAAACATTCGGAAGTCTGGAATTCCATGAAGTATCGAAGGTGCCACTCGGATATGAAACTGCTGAGCAACTGTCGGGCTCGGGAAAAGCAGTAGAAAAACATTTCATGAAACCAAAAGATAATCGCCCGTAGGCTGCAGATCTGCAAACCGCTCTCTCTCAACCCTGGACCCTTAAGCCTCTACACCCACGAGTCCTACAGCAGGAATATAACAAACGACAGGTCGAGGTGAGGTTTCACCATGCGCAGGTGCGCCTCTAAAGGACCCGATCTGGTTCATTCCAAACCCTTTCGGGGCACTAGAACCTGTCCCCGAAACTCCAAAATCTAACCCCAAGATCCGACAGAAATCCTAGAGCTAAGGACCACATCCCGATCTCCCGAGCTCCTTCTTCCCACTTCTCGTGGCTGCTTGCAACCCGGCTCAGATGCCGGAGTTTCTCAAAACACCCAGGGGGGGCTTCTGGGGTTTTGGAGTTCTACAAGATTAGAGTCTGGCCAAAAAACCAAACCATTGGTCCCTCAACACCCCTTACAAGTAAAGGGCAGTCCAGAACACGGTCGAAGCCTTAAGACGAAAATGCCGGGCAGGATTTCTGAGAAACTCCCCATGTGGGACCAACGAATTTTGGTGGGTCGAAAGGGGAGCCGGGCTCCTGATCTCAATCACGAGATGGCCCTAAACTCCCTGACCACTGACACTTTACAATCCAAACCTCATCTAAACATAGTTTCGGATTGAGTTTGTCAGTTCTCTCTTTGTGTCGAATCCAGAAATCGAACTCAGGGGCTTTTAATTTTCATCATTGCGGCATCATCGATACCATTGTCTATTCCTGCCGTTGTTTGCTCTCATTGATTCTTCAATGCCCTATCCGATTCAGCTCTGCGGAACGACGCTGGGCCCGCCCTCGTACGGAGGTGGTACCACCTGAGGCGGCAAGTTGGGATCACACGAACAAACAACTAACTAGTACGCACGTGTTTGTCTGTACATACATCTTTCACTGTCTTGGGGAGTGTGTGAAGAAACAAACACGTAAATGCAAAACGAGTATTTGCTTAAACATATCTGTCCATCCATCTATCTGTCTATCCGACTGTCTGTCTGTCTGTCTGTCCATCTGCCTTTCTACCCATCCATTTATCTATCTATCTGTCCACCTATCTATCATATGTACACACATTACGCACACATACACATATATACATATATATATATAATATATATATATATATGTAAATTCATACAAACAGTTCCGATGTACATAGTAGGTAAAGTATGTGTGTAAATAAATAAATAAATATAAATAAAAATATATATATATATATATATATATATATCCAAAATCGTATGTGCATACGTATGCTCGTTCCTTTCATGTGCTTCGCCTTTTCCGATCATGTATACTTTTCATCTGTGCAGCTACCACATGACTGCAGCACATCCACCACCCCAAACGCCCTCAACCCCGAAACGGGTCGTCAGCTTCGTTTGACTTCGGATTAGGCGTTCAAGGGCTTAGTTGTATGTGATCGAGAGCCCTCGTGTTCTGTATCACCAACCCGGACCCCGAGCGGTTCCAAAGCCCCACAAAATGGAAGTCCTGTGACTGGCTATAGCACGCATCGACATTCATTCAACACTCTCGACCAAAAACCCATACAGTTATGTACGAATTTTGGATATGTAATTGCTGCAGGGTTTTTGGGTCCGTTTGGCGTTTAGGGTACGGGCGTGTGACTTGTGGCTCAGCTGAGAGCTTGAGGCTTCCGAGGGTTCAAGCTCTCCAACCCCTGCTTTCTGAAGCAAGTGCTCTCCGTAGCACAAGGGGTTAGGGGGTTGCAGATGAGACCCTGAAGATCTCGGGGGCAGATGAATCAAAGCATCCCCAGCCCCGGCAAGTGCAAACACTGGCAACGTGCCAGAAACCCTCTGAGCTTGCGAACCCAAGAAACCAAGATCTCTCAAACCTCCAAGCCCCAAGATCGTTGAGATCCGGGCCCGGTTGCCCGAAATGTTGCTCACCTCAGCTGAACTGTCGTGTAAGCTTTCAACGCCACTCTCAATGCTGCAGGATCCTCCTGACTGACTGTACACGTGTGACTTCATTAAGCACCCTGGGTAAATTTCGTCGAGTTGTGACTTCGTGGACAAGTCCGTGCTGCTCACAGATGTCCCGGGGCTCCCTTTTGCAGTGTCTGTCTTTGAAAGGGCCCATGAAATGGATTGCTAGGGGTGTTTTCTTTGCAAGTCTAAATTTCCCGATTGGGTTCAGGGGCGAACATAGTTCGAGGGTTGAGGCCGAAAGCGCGCACTTCCTGCGACTCAGGTTTACGGAGAAGTTGAGCTTGGATTGTGGCGGGGGCGTACCTGTTGCAGGTAGGTTTCCTACGAGGCCCCATGAAACTTTTGCCATGGCACGGTGTCCGCGATGAAGGACAAGGGAGTTTCCTCATCTTCTGTAAACTGGCTGTTCCTGGGAAGGGCTTCGGGGACTGCTCTGTGTATGAAGTCTATAGGTTTTGGGAGCTAGGGCCGCTAGGGTTGCTGATTTCAGCGCGAATTTTCCGTTGGAGATGTAGAGAGGTTCGGAGTTTGGGGAACGGAGCCGAAAGAGCTAGCGGCACCCACGAGACCGAGACCTCGAAATGGAAAGCCCGTAAATCACGACAGCAGGGCACCTCTCGACGTAAACCACGCCCGGCTCGGCCTGGCTACACCGGGAGCAATTCCCAAAAGATTTAGCTTCGGCTCGGGTTTGGGTTGAGGCTGTGAGGCTGTGAGGCTCCAGGGTTGTGAGTCTTGTGCTTGTCTTGCTGCGCCACGGTGTCAACCAGCGATAGAGGGCACATGCAAAGTGGAATGCAACTCCCAACATGTTTAACTGGCAAGGACCGTGGGATGCTGGTTGGCTCAATATGGCATGTCTTTTGATTTAGGCTAGGCTTACAGCTGCAATGCAGTCAATGATTCTGTGTGGTGGCTCGAAGCTAACACTTCAGGAAGAACACTGCATCCATGGACTCCTATAAACGAGTTGACCGTAAGCTGGAAGCAGCAGGAAAGATTTTTGTCCGGGAGCTGGGCGTCGCACATGCAGATGTGTAGCTGTCAAAATGGCTACCGGCTACCAAAACCTCCCAAGCCCTAAACTCGGCTCTGCATGCCGAAATTTCAATCTGAACTGCAGGGCGCAGGGCGCAGGGTGCCGTAAGATTTGGGTTTTTTTGGAAGAAGTCCGGGCATACAGAGCTGTCGAATCAGGTTCGTTTTGAGCTTCTCTAAACAAGTCATGAAGTCCCTGAGGCCGACCTGGACCCCTCCACAGGCCACAAACCTTCAATCCACCAATCAAGGCTCAAGTGTTTATAATCGTCATGGTGCAATTTCGACCGCTACCCTCGAGAGCTCTTCCCTCGCTGAATTCACTGCGCAGGCGTTTGGGCTCCTTAGCCTTGCTGTAGGAGATGAATTATAGATGCGGCTAGAAAGCTTGCCCTTGGGGTTTCAGGCATTAGGGTTTAAGGTTGGGGTTGGGGGTTGAGGGTTTTTGAAGCCACCTGACAAGCTTCACCGAAGTTGAATCAGGTCTATTTGCGCGGGCTCCAAACCACAAAGCACCTGTGATGATTTCTAACTTATAGTGGCTGAAGGCGGACGCGAGAAGCTTTTAGATTGTGTGGAGTTTTGCATTGCAGGTGGGAGAATCTCAGTAAATCGAACTCTTGGATTAAAGGTCTCCTGTCAACTCTGCTTGTCAGACGTATGCCTCTAAACCTGCAGCCCAATCACTTCCGCGAGCAGTGTGCGGTGCTGGTCAGCACGGCACATGGAGCATTTGCACATCTGGCGCTTTGTCGGCACACTTTCGGGGCCTTTGAGGGGGAGGGACTGTTGCAGTAGATTGAGGTTTGGACACATTCTGTTGTTAGGTAGGGAAAGCAAGACAACGGTGTTGCTCCGTGGCTCTTGTCACTCCTGACCATACGAGGCACAGAAACCTGGCGGAGCTCTGAAGGACCGGGGAAAAAACCCTCAAGGAGAGCTGTGCTTTAGTCTCGATGACAACGTTGCAGGGCTTACCATCGACTGCAGATCCTTAACATTTCCTTCAATCGATGTAGCAATGTAGCCCCACGAGCTGATGAACGTTGGCCTCCCGAACCAAGGCAACCTCCTCTGAATTTCTTTAGGGTTGAGTGTGGGGCTCTTGGATCTCAGATGGTGCTCAGAGCTCCGAATCCTCGCGCAGAGGCGGGAGCGTGTTTCGGCCTCGGCATCTCCAACCCAAACCTCTTTAGAAGATTACCCCAAACCCTAAAGTCCCAACTACTAGCCCCTAATCCA